GATTTGTTCCATCACCTTCCCTGACACCGAGAAATGGTGGAACTGTTTCTGTTATTGCATGATAAGTAAGCAGCTGGGGATGGATACCTCATTTTTATCCACAATGTTCCCCCCACCTTTTAATTTTTTTTTATTTTTTTTTTTGTCAGTAGTTTGCTTTGTTTGGTCGCTCCCAGCAGCAGAAACAATTTTTGAGACTATGGAGGTGCTGGTGCAAGGGCAGGAGTGAGCGAGTGTCCAGCGGAGAAGAAAGGCTGAGGGGAGCCAGTGGCCATTAAGCCAGCCTGGCTACCAGGATAAGTCTGTGAAACTACGCTTTGAATATTTTTCACAGAAAAATTTCCCACACAGCTTTCCACATCTGCTGTTGTGAAACCAGTCAAGTCAGCCATCATCCAGGCAGTTCAAATCACGGTGCAGTCTGTTTTCAAGTACCCTAGGTTTTCGAGTTTTGGAACTTCATGCAAGCTGACACTGCTCCCTCCCTGAGCTCGGAAAGTGACACTGAGCAAAGCAGGTGCTCAATCTGCCTTGTAGGGGCCTGGTGTCAGGATGGGTTACCATTAGGGGGCTGGCTGATTGTGTTTGAGGAAAGCATAAATATTTACATAATGTTGTAATTATTGTCAGATTGTGGTGTTCACCTGGTGAGGAGATGTAAAGCTAGAGGGGGAGCTGGGTGATTGTACTTGCTGGGAGCTTTTGGGTGAGAAAGACTTAAAGCCAGAACCTGCTGCATCGTGACATACTTATGCCAGAGCAGCCTGGCTTTTGGATGCCATCGTGCTGAGCTCTTGGGAACCTTGGACTTGGAAGGATCACAGGACTTGAAAGGAGATCTGTAGGTACAGACCAGGATTTTCAAGGCCTACCTCCTGGCAGTGATTGCAGACCTTATGCTATCTGAGTTGTTGCTCTCCTGAAAACCACAGAGTGCCTTCCTTCTGCAGAGCCCATCCTTTGGAGGAGTTTTTGTTTAATGATAAACTAAATCTGTAAAAGATTTATTACATTACTAGCTTTTTTCACAGCCTAGTTTTTTAACATGGGAAGCATTTGTTACTAGCTTGCACTTCTGCACCAGAGGGTCCTGAGCCCCTGGGCAGGCCCTCACTGAAGTTAAAAGTCAGAAGCAAGGCGAGACGGGCCGTGCCTACAGTAAATCGTGCAGCGTCAGAGGGACTGCGTAGTTTAGCTGCATGTTGACTGCAGTCTTTTGACAGAAAAGTTGTGGTATATGTGGGCTTTCTGTCTGTCGCTCAAAGGTAACGTCTTTGAAATCTCTCAGGTCTCTAAGTTATGGCCAGCATCTTACTCTTCGGGATAAAGACTGTTTTCATTTATTTTTGGATAACACCTATTTCATTGTAGCCTGCTCTGGAATGTAGTTAGTCATAACCAGAGTTTAAAATAGAAAAAAACCAACCCCAAAACAACAAACTCCCCACCCCAATTTTGGGGTTGTGGCTAAATAACCTAACCAACTTACCACGGTTTCCATGGCTGTTCAGAGTTCTTGAAGGAGTGCATCTGAAATAAGATGGAGACACTGGCACTTTTCACAAATATTGTCAACTTATAGGGTATATGCTCAGTATTAGAAACGATCATTAAGGTCTCTATAAGTAATGTGGAACAGTGCATTAATGAGCTATATATTCTGTTTAAGTATTTGTTGCTTTAAATAGTAGCTCCAGGGACTCAGGACTGGAATAGCAGATGCATTGCTGGACACAGATGAGGTTTCACTGGCAGACCTCTCTAGCACCTGGCTTAGGAAGATGTTGTTCCACTTACAAATGCCAATGCTGCATGCCTTTTTACTTCCGTACTGTATTTTTTAACATTACAGTGACTGTGGCCAGCAGTTGAGGTTCAGTGTTGGATACTTTGGATCTGGCTTATAGACACTGAAAGGACTTTTAGTCTTAATCTTTTATTTTTTTTTCCATAATTCTGAAGTGGATGGATTATACTTTCCTTGTGTGTTTTTGTTTTGAAATGTTATTAGTCCAGTTGTTTGCTGAATCAGTAACTTGCCATAGCTTCCTTATTTCTTGGACTTGTAGTTGATGCTGTAAAAGTTAACTTAGTTTCACTACATATGAAAAATAAAATTGCAATTCAGCCACCACTGCCTTCTATTTTGAAAGTATAGTTGCACAATGTGCTTATACATGTAGTATTTTTAATTTCCAGCTTTGGTGCCAACATGAGCCGATTCTGTTTATTCCCCACAGTTGGAGCTTTGTGTATTTTCGAGACGATTTCTGTTTTGCAGCAGCAGCAGTTTTAGCAGCTGCATGCTTTGAGGCCTCCGTCTTCTCTGGCATGAGATCCTGCGGTGAATTGAGAGGAGGGCAGAGTGGGAGCCAGCTTAGACCATCTCCATTTTACGTCTTCTGCGAACCAGAAAGCTGTCGTGGAGCGAGGCAAGGTCCCGTTCACTACCCCCTTTCTGTGGGGCTGAAGGCAAGCAGCCTTCAGGTAGTCATGGCAAGGAAATTATAAGCTGGGAGTCTTTTCAAGACACTTCTTCAAAATTATTTGGGGCTCTTTGATCAACCAGTCCAGTTGTGAAGCTCTGTGGAGGTATATCAGGTGCACATGTCTGCAGACACATACATGAAACCCCCTCCTGCAGATTGGGCAGTCATTGGTGCTGGAAGAGACAGTGTCCTGGGAAGAAAATAGCACATGGTGGTTTGGCACCTCGAGGCACATACAAGCAAGTGAAGTTTGCCTGGATGGCTCAAATGTGGCACTTGTGCATTTTGAATCCCTTGGCAAGGACTAGAAAAGCCAACATCTTGTACAGCTGCTTGCTGGAAAGCAGGGGAGTCTTACGAACGTTCCCGTGGCCCCTCTTGGAGGCTGGGGCAACAACATCAAAAAGCAGCCTTGGTATGCTCGAGCCCCTGGCACAGCACAGCACCAACCCTGTGGTACACACTGGCCATGGGGAGCCTCTAAATATGGGAGTGCTGAGGGGTTAGGTAGCTCTGGCCTGGCAGCAGTGGGACCTGGAAGAGAGGTTCCCTGCTCCTGGCTGCCTGCTGATGTCCAAAAATCCCTCCTGTGGTTGTGGCTGCTGGGTTAGGCATGGAAGCCATATGAAGCTGCTGCCCATTGCAAGGAAGGGCCTGGCCAAGTATAGTGCTGCATTATGTATAAAAATAAGGCTTATATTTATATTTTTATATATGACTTTTCTAAATGTAGAAGGCAGGGAAGGTGCATGCATGTTTGTAAGTTAATGATACTGCTGACAGTGAGGACATAATGATCAAGCTAGATCTCTTTCAGGATTTATTCAGTACCTTTTTCCCTGTTGAATAAGGCAATTATGTGCTTTTTGCTATGCTTCTTGCTTTTTATCTTGATGGACCCTCAGTTGCAAGTAGAAAAAACCTAAAATACACAAGGAATTCTGTCTCTCACCACTTTCACCTTTGCAAAGTGTTTCTAAATAACAGCGAAGTTGCATTTCTTCTCTGGCTTTCTTCAGTACAAGATGGTGCCATTGTATTTTGGATCCTTCAAGCTCAGCTGTCTTTTACACTGTTTGCAGCATGCCAAGTATTTCCAGGTTCTTTCTCTGCCGCCCAAAATATCTAGAACTGTTAATGTAGTTTTTTGTTTGTTGGCGTGAGTTTGATTTTATTGTAGCTGTTTTTCTGTTTATAAGGCCTTCAGCATAACTATCCCAAAGTGTGGCTTAAACAGTTTTCTCTCTCTCCTTTAATTTTCTCGAAGTCTTTAGTAGCGTAAAGTTCTGTAGCAAAAAAAGTTTTTTGTCTGTGTGTCTACCAGAAAGGGCACCTTATAAAAGGACCATATGGTTCCGGTGAATTGAAATGAATCCGTATGGCTGGTTTTGAAACAAAACCTCCAGCTCGCCTTAGAAACAAGATAGTTTTGTCTGCATGTTAAAAGCAAACAGTTCTGGAGTCTGTGCCCTTGTGCAGATATGCCTTTTCACTGTGGCATGGGGAGAGTGTGTTGCAGGAAACAGAGCCATACCGTGTCAGTGCCTGTTCTGCTGGACGAAACGTGCCAGGACCACCAGCTGCACAGACACAAAAAGAGCCGGATGAGGAAATCGGGAGCGGTTCTTCCTCATCCTCTTCACTCTCATCCCTAGTGTGTGGGAAAGCTAGAAACAGATGTTCTTAAACCTAGCGGCTTCTGATAAACAAGACAGTCTGCTTCCACTTAAATGCTGCTCAGCTGGGAGGAGAGGACTTAAGAAATTCTGGGTTTTACAGGAAGTCTCCCAGCTTCTCTGTCTGACTCTTGCAATAGAAGCCTAAAGGTGGTGATGGAATGACTTGTGGTTTTTGTCTTTGCAGTTGGCCTGCTGCTGTGGTACCGCTGCCTGTTCCCTGTGCTGCAAATGCTGCCCCAAGATAAAACAGTCAACCAGCACCCGCTTTATGTATGCGCTTTACTTCATCCTGGTGACGATCATCTGTTGTGTCATGATGTCAACGACCGTAGCTAATGAAATGAAAACACACGTAAGTAAGAGAGATGAACCCACTGCTGCGCCGGTAGGAAATGGGGCTCCTTCCGCAGCCCTTCATATACAGGGGTGCTCGCTCAGAAGAGGTGGTCTGTTCTCTCCACCCATCCACTGCCAGACTCAGACGGGATGATTTTCCATCCTCAGCCTTTTCCTGTCTGTTGCTTACCCACTGAGTGTGTTTTGCAACAGGAAGAGTCAAGGATCACAGGGCCAGCAGCCTTCCTCCTCTTTCCTTGAGCAGAAACCCGCTACAATGAGACCATCCCAGCTACACGTGTGAAGGCTGTTAGGGAGCATGTTTTAGTAGAACAAATAGGTTCAGTCTAACACTGAGTTCGTCTCTGATGACTTGTTTAGTAGCAGAAGCAGCACATTAGAAAATAATTAAAGAGTTGCATTTATAGTTTCGGTTTTGTGTTCCTGGTGCTATGTGACAGACTGCAATGGACAGTGCTGCAGATGCTTTACAAGAGGTTTTGTTAAGTGTGCATTGAGTCATTCTGTTCACATGGCCTCTAACCACAGCAGATATTGTTCATCTCTAATTGTCTTCCTAATTAAGAAGCTTCAAAAGCATGAAAGGAGCTGTGGCTAGAACTATTTTTTAAAACTGAAGTTTCTTTCAGAGCCTTAATATAACTTTCCTAAGCTAAATGCTCACCACCCTGCTTGTGGTCAGACTGTAGACCTGTTGTACCACATCTTTGGTTTGGTTTCTTAAGCCACCCAAGTTGCTCTCAGTAGAATAAATCCTCTCTCTTT